ATTTGATAGAATGAACGATATATTTTGTAATTTTTAATGTTTAAAAATTGATACATTAAAATTAACCATCATTATGATCAGAAGAAAGAATAAAGCAAAATTCAATGCAAGGATTATTCGATTTGCCTAGCTCTTTGTTATCAAATGTATATTCAGAATCGAAAAACTTCTTTTCAAACAGAAAAATATAATATATGTTCTTGATACTATACTCTTCCCTAACTTGATTTGATTTTACATAAATGTTAATGCTAACTCATATATAAATGTCTAAGTCTAGCCTTTTATCATAACCTTTGATATCTTTGGTAAATGCTCTCTTAGTAATTCTTTTCATTGTTATATTTCATTGATATCAATTACTAGTCCTACCTCTTATAATATCCATACTTTTAGAAGAATAAATTTCTATAATTTTAGGAAATATTATTTTGGTCCAATAGCGCTAGTACAGACATTAAATCGAATTAAATGTAAGAGTAACTAATTCAGGAATTTATTATTAACCAATAAATGCACATTATGATTAATTACTAATTAATCAATTGATGACAAGCTTTAATTTATATATTTTATACAGGTAATGGAAATCTATCCTAGGATTGTACAAGATGAAAATATATGAATTGGAGAGATTTTGAATTTGTTCTTAAAGTTAGCGTTAATGAAGTTATAAAAACCAATAGACAGATAAAACCAATTATCATTTGCCTTCTCCTTAATAGTTAAAATAAGAAATTATTGCAATTTTACTTAGATTTTAAGCTTGCTTTAATTTTGTGATAATGTTTAAAACGATTATTCATGAAGCCTCCTTGAATTAAAGAGTTGCAAATATTAAATGCACTCGAAAATATACAACCTAAAGATAACTAAATATCTTAATATTGACCAAAATAATGTTACAAAACAAGTAATCTCCCTTATTCTTTTAAATCAAATCTTTAAAACAGAGATAATTAGTTATATTTAATTATCAGATTAAGAACAGATAATAATAATTCTAATAGTAACCAACTATTAATTATACTAAAAATAACTAGAAGTTAAAAAATTGGCTTAAATTAAAATTATAACGAGGTAGAGCTTGTATTTCAATAAGATCAATTTTAATTGAAACAAATCAAAGTATAATAATAATAGAATTTTAAATGATGTATCAAAGAATAAAATAATAAATAAGGATAGATAGTATATTATTTTATTTAATCAGTTATTTTATTATTTCTGATATCATTATTTTCTTCTAATTAATATTCACAAATATTTATTTCAAATTTTCAACAACATTTCACATAATCTAATTAACACTACAGTTTTATAATTTATTAACTGTGTCAACTTTATAATAACAATGAAAAATTAGACAGAACGATCTATGAAATTTTAAGGATCTTTTCTTTTAATCTAATAAAATCTCCACCTAAATTATATAGTATCAAGTTTATCATTTTATAATATATTTATTCTTTTTATAATAAAGTTTTTAATTTCCACTCACTCTCTATTGAGTTTAAACTGTAGAGTTAGTTACTAAGTATAGTTATTATTAACGTTTCATATCATATTCAATTAAATTCTTATATAAGCCCAAACTTCTTTTTTCTTGAGCCTGATATTTCTGTATCTTTTATTTGACCTTTGAATATAATAATAATTCCACAAACATCCTTATTAAAATTTCAATATCTTTTGAGTATACTGATGAATTTGAGCATTCTAAATAGGCACAATTAAAGAATTCTTTTGGGAAGCTAAAATTTATAATTCTTTTGAAACTATTTTTTCGTTGGATTAAACAAAAGTTATGGACTCATGATTTTTCTCAAGCCAAGTTATGTTTAACTTTATTATAATTTAAATTATTAATTGTTATCAGAAAGAAATACACATAAAGAATTAAAAACAGATTCTTATTGAGGTAATTGCTCCTTCGGTAATTAATCGAATATATAAAAATAGTGGTTATGAGCTTAGATTAAAGTTAGTTGAAATATAAATAGTCTTTACTAAATAATTGCTTTGATATGGCTTGCTAATTAATACTATAATAAAATAAGAGCAAAGAAGAAGATAAGATGGTACATATAATCAAATCATTAAATTGAGTATTTTTTGCACAATTTATTGTTAAATATGCTATTTCATTTTGAACTTCAAGAAATTTTCTTATTTGCCCAATTTCCATTTTCTGTTCTTAATTATTGGTTTTAAACATTATTGTAATAAATATATTACCTTTTTATTTTCTGTAGAAAATTACTCTGATCAACAAGAATAATATTTTTATTCATTATTAGGTAGCAATAAATGCTCTTTTCTTCCACTCTCTATCTTCAATGAATCATCAATTTCATCTAAGTTTAAGTAATTCTCATTCTTAATCTCATCTTATTTAATTCTGTATAATTTTTTTAATAATTAAAAATTATTGAATTAATCCTATAAATTTTTAAATTGATGATCTCTTATTCAATTGATTATCCTCAATTGGACTTTAAATATAGTTTTGTGTTATTCCTTTTCAGTTTTTTTCTTCAATTCAATTGGAATATATTGCTTGATAATTAAAAAGTTAAAATTTAATTTGATAAAATAAATGTGATAATGTATAATATATCTGTATCATATGATTTAACAAATCGATGAACAAACTGTCTTTACCTTTGGAGCTAAAGGTTTATATAAATATGATATAACGGCATCTTCAAATATTTCTCTAAACTTTTTTTATTGCCTTAAAATCTATTCTTAGTTTTTTTCTAAATAATTTAAAATGATAAATGCATCTTCTGTTCCTTTAGTCCAATAAATATTCTTAAATAATTTGAAGAGCTGCTTTCTTTTGCTACTAATTCATCTACTTTTAATTAACTGATGTTCTTTTTTCACTTTCAAATTAGGAAACACTGTTTTCCTAATTTATTTGCTACCATTAAACTCTATTATAGTTAAGCTAAATTCACTGCAAATTATATGATAATTTCATTCAGAAGTCTTAATCTTCTGTTTAAATTTATGCTCATTTTTTGTTTCAATTAATTTGAATCCTTGTGGAAGTCCAAATTTATAAAGAAGCTCTATAGTGCCTTTCAATAAGATCAGGCAAATCCTAAGATTCTTGGATCTTTCATCCATTTCGCTTAGCTCTTTAAATATTCTTAAAAACATTTATCTCTAAATGGAACTACATCAGCTTCCTGTAGCAGAGACAAGTATATCTATTTATGGGATACTAAGACTGGATAATAAAAAACCAAATTATATGGTCATATGGTTTGAGTCAACGTAACGCGCTTCTCTACTACAGTAGCATCTAGTAGTAGATAACTCTATCTGTTTTTGGAATGTAACTATGAAGAAACTTTTTCGAAGAAAAATTAATTTTGAATAATTCATAAATTAAATATATATTTATTGAATATTATAAAAGATAAAGCTTATACATTAAAAAATATACCTAATTATAT